TTTTTTTTTTTTTTTTTTTTGTCTATATATGCAACTGTAGTTGGACTATCTGTAGCATAACACTTTGGCAATACGATTTTGATTGCCAAAAATCTAAACTTTAAAAATTGAATGTTTACATAACAATGGCATCATCGACAACAACAACGACGACGACGACGGCAGCGGTACCGTTAAAAATTTTCATCTTAGTGTCCTATGCGACGCTAAAAAGAAAATCGTTTTTGTCGGTATTTGGTTGTTGTTCTTTAGGAGAAACTGTTGAAGATGCAATTGAATTTAGAGAGCGCAAAAAAAAAAAAAAAATTTAGCTTAATCATTTATTTAGCTGTCTGTGTTGGCCGTAACAAATACAAAAATTTTTGACATTATTAAAAATGCAAATAGTTTTGTTATTCAAAAAGCTTAAGTATGCTCAAAAATCTTTCTTGCTGTCTCAAGTAGAGAAACAGGTAAAAAAAGAAATGCAGAATTGTCATCTAATTCTTCTAATATCTGTTATAAATTTTAAGTTTTTATTGTACAACTAAACCTTATCAAGCAAATAAATGAAAAAAAAAATGGTCAGCTTTGAGTTTTGAGGAAAATGTACAGAGCAAAAGCAACCAATATTTATTTTTATTCTAATAATGATAGTTTTTTCTGCAAAATCTTCTTCTCTTACTTCGGAATTTTTTTCTTTTTTTGTTTTCTTGGCTTTAAAAACAAAAGTACTAATGACGGTGAAGTATACTTTATATTAAATTTGAAAAAAAAAAACAAATTCTTTTTGTCCTGAAGTGAGGACATAGTGGAGGGTGTGAGATAAAGAATTTTAAAGACCTTTATAGTTTATTAGCAAACTTGGAAAAAAGAGATATTTTAAAGAACCGTGTATTTTAAGTGTTATTCTTTCGTCTGCTTTTTACTGAGGTCACCAAAAACCAACGTGGCGAATTCGTATTTGTCTTCTTATACCGTCTAAAGACATCAGTTTGAAGATTTTTTTAATTTTAAGCAAACTGGCAAAGGGTGGGGAGGGAATGCAAAGAGGGATTGAGTGAATAATGTTTGACTCAACAAAATCGGTACTACAAAACAGATTAAATTATAAGAACAAACAAAGTTTTTTTTTTCTTGTTGAACAAAGGAAAGAATTTTTGAAGAAAATAAGTGCAGTGATGATAAAGTGCTGACACCAAGAAAGACGGAAATGAAGTATCGCTTTGAAAAAAAGCTGTTGATAGGTAGCATATATTTATGTATATTTATGTATATTTATTTATTTATTTATTTATTTATTTATTTATTTACTTATTTATTTATTAACGACAGTTTTTTAAAACCGCTACTAGAAATGTATTATTGGCGATAGAATTCAGTTTACTATCACTGATAATATAAAACTTAGTGTAGCTGTTATGGTGATATTTAAATCAGTTGTTCGGTCCGGAAACGATTATTGAATTAGGTTATTAGTCAAAACGATAACATTGCCAGTTAGTGTATACTGTTGTCTGATAGACACTTAACAATACTGTTATTTGTGGTAGTAAATAGCCATAAACTGGCAGCAATTTCTGATGAAAGCAGTTCTGCTGAGAACAGTTTAGCCATTGTCATCTTTGTTGGTTTTTGTTCTTCTTACCATTGTTGGTCATCGTCGTTGTTGGTTGGTACTGTTGTTGTTAGCGGCAGTCAGTCACTTGAACAGCAACTAAATTATCCGAAAACAGAAGGACTGCAGAGCGAAGAGGGTCATTTGCGCAATTCACTTAAAATTAATAAATTTTCCTGTCCACTAATAAACACTGTCAACTTTTATCCTCTATACAATAAAAATATCCATCTTTAAATAAAAAAAAAAAAAGAAAAAGGAAACAATAATAATAAAATACAATTCTATATTGATGCCAAAGCATTAATTTTTAATTGCATTTCTATAGTGTTTTTCTGCTCTTCTCTCATTAATTCACTCCGTCAATTGGCAAATAAGAAGACTGAGTTATTTTTGCCATTTTTTTTGTTTAAAACAAAGAAAAAAATAAACAGCTTGGCGACAGTACTGGAAAGTTTGCAGTTAGAATAATTAAGCAGTTTGAAGCTTTGTGTACAAAGTTGGTTTGAATTTTTGTAGAAACTGAAAAAGGAATGAATGCAGAAATTTTTCTTTTGTTCATTATTATATTTATTTTCTTTTTCTTACCACTTTTTTGTCGTCTTTTACAACAGTTTATTCGCCGGTCTTACAGTGTACAGTAAGAAAGCTAACGAATTTCAATTGGTAAAGTACAAAGATTACAACGACGAACCACTATCATGCAGTTTAATTCAGTTGACAATTCAGAATTGTTGACAACAGATCAGTTTAAAAATACACCTGCATAGAACATTTCATTTGCGAATAGTGCTATATAAATTTGTCTAATTGAAGCATCAAAAAACACTGCTAATCTGAAAGTTTGATTTTATAGTGCAGAAAAAGGATTTTTTTGAAAAACTGTTTAAAAATGATATGTATTTTTAATATTGTTGCTTACGATATTGAAAAGGTTTTAAGTTTTAGACGGAGTTTAATACTGCTGCATCGGTTTACAGAAGCGTTGTTTAGAAACCTCTGAACAGTACAGAAACAAAGTTTCAAAGATATGTTCAGTGGTTGAGTACAAAAAGTTTTTTTTTTCAGATTTACTACTACTTTTGAACAAATGTGAAGAGGGAAAATTAAAAGAATTATTTTACAGCACTAACAATGTGCCAAATATGTTTGAACTTCAAAAAACTTTAGTCGACTATTAACAGATAGCCAATATTTTTGGCTAACTTTGTTGTGATGTTAAAAAGAAAAAATGAAGAAAGGATATTAATAACTTTATACTTCTAATTTCTCTTTAAATTAGTCTAATCTAACAGGAAAACATTCCAAGAGCAAAAGTTAAACTTAGTGATGGTTTTTTTTTCAGTGTTTGGGTGCTGCAATCTTAGGTCTTGTATTAGGACCAATGCGGCAATACTCGTTTCATGAATTTGTCACGATGACAAAAACTGAATGGCAAGGTCTGGTGGTTGGATCTGTTTCCTGTTTTTCAGCGTTAGCCCTATTTCTTCTCCTTACTTCTTGTATTGCTCATCAGCAACAATTTTGGAAAAAAATTGTTAGTTTATTTTACTGTTTACAGTTTAGTAGTTCTTTTTTTTTTTTGTTTTTTTTTTGTTTTCTTCTAAGACAATATTTTAGTAAATTTTATTGTTTCATTGTTAGTGAACCAATGTTATGTTCAAATATTTGTAGAATTTTGTTCTCAACAATTTTGTCAATAATCACTCGTCAATCAGTCATCAATCATTTGATACTAAGAATTTCCTAAAAAAAAAAAGAAAAAAAAAGGAAAGGGAAACATCAAAAAACTTTTTTCTTCAGCAATTATTT